CTTCTGTCCACAAACGTGGGCATCTCTATTTAATTAGGTCTTTGATCTTTTATATACAAGGGAATATTACTCGGCCATAAAAAAGAATAGTCTTACCATTTGCAACGATGTGGTTGGACCGAGAGGGTATTGTGCTAAGTGAAATAAGCCAGGACAGAGGAAGACACATGCCATATGGTTTCACTTCTAGGTGGAAATCTATAAAACAAAGAAGAGAAACAGATCAGAGACACTGAGAATAAACCTGCTGGTTGCCAGATGGTATGGGTGTTGAGGAACTGGGTGAAAAAGACGAAGGGATTAAGAAGTACGAATTGAGAGTTACAAAAGAGTCACAGGGATGCGAAAGTACAGCCTAGGGCAGTGATGGCGAACCTATGACACGCGTGTCAGAGGTGACAAGTGAACTCACTTTTTTGGTTGATTTTTCTTGGTTAAATGGCATTTAAATATATAAAATAAGTATCAAAAATATAAGTCTTTGTTTTACTATGGTTGCAAATATCCAAAAATTTCTATATGTGACACGGCACCAGAGTTAAGTTAGGGTTTTTCAAAATGCTGACACGCCGAGCTCAAAAGGTTCGCCATCACTGGCATAGGGACTATAGTCAATAATGGTAATAACTATGTATGGAGCCACGTGGGTGCTAGACTTATGGAGGGATCACTTCATAAATTATGTAAATGTCTAACCACTATACTGTACACCTGAAACTAATACAAAACAATATTCAATGTCAACTGTAATTGAAATAAAAATTTTAAATTAAAAAAAAATGACAATTTTCAAAAATAGTAAATTTCCATATTCACCACCTAAATTCAATAATCGTTAAGGTCTGCCACATCTGTTAATATTGCAGTCCTCTCTGAAAGTCAGGCAAGTGCTTCATTGGGGGTGTGGAATTTTAGAGTGAGGAATTGGTGTCACCGCCTCCTCCAGGGCTGGCACATTAGTTTCACTGAACCCCTTCGCAAAGACACTGCAGCCCTCGCTGGTCTGGCTCAGTGGATAGAGCATCGGCCTGCGGACTGAAGGGTCCCGGGTTTGATTCCAGTCAAGGGCACATGCTGGGTTTGCAGGCCCCATCCCCAGCGGGGGGCATGCGGGAGGCAGCCGATCCATGATTCTCTCTCATCATTGATGTTTCTACCTCTCTTTCTCTCTCCCTTCCTCTCTGAAGCCAATAAAAATATATTTTTTTAAAAAGAAAATACATAGCAGACAACATGTAGATGTCACCTTCATTCACTTCTGGAGGGAGCCTCCTCTTCAAATCAAAGCATATTCCCAATAACCAAGACTTGGAAACAGCCTTCGTGTCCGGGGCAGATGATTACATAAAGGTGTAGCACAAATATGCAATGGGACACTACTCAACCATAAGAAATGATGAAACAAGTAATATTGGATTTTCTAGTCTTGGCGAGATTTTGCCCTCCTCGTGATGCCCAAAATGCTAGAGCTAAGAGGAAAGTAGTTAGCAGATTTTGTGTTTATGAAAATTGACACAGACCGTTTCCATTTAAAGATAAAACGAAACAAAAGCAGAGGCGGAAGCTTTTGCGGCAGTAGAGGAAAGCGAGAACTAAACAGAAAACTAAGAGAGAAAGAAATGCATACAAAAATAAAACTTGGTCAGAGCAGAATCCCCCAAGAAGGAAAAGATGGAGGTAGAAGTAAATGAAAAACAAGAAAATGGGGGGAGGGGAAGAGTTCTGACATCAAAGATTGGGACATAGAGCAACTTCTTAAATGTACAAAAGTCTTGCCCAGCCAGCGTGGCTCAGTGATTGAGCATCGACCTATGAACCAGGACGTCAGGGTTCGATTCCCAGTCAGGGCACAGGCTTGGGTCTCGGGCTTGATCCCGAGTAGGGGGTGTGCAGGAGGCAGCCAATCAGTGATTCTCATTATTGATTATTGGTTCTCATTAGTGATTCTCATTCTCTCTCTATTCCTCTCTGAAATCTATAAAAATATATTAAAAATAAAAAATAAAAAGATGGGGCCAGGGACAATGGCTGAGCAGTCTTCAGCAGCTGCTCTGTGTGAGAGGAAGGAAAATGCTAGACTCCAGACTGGTAGGCAGCTCACACCGGTTTCCACTGCAAATCAGAACTTCTCTGGGAGTCGGTCAGTGTCCTCCTGATAGGCGAGGCTGGGGGTCTGGACCCTAGAAGGGCACGAACAAGAATCAACCAATGAGCCCGAACCGGTTTGGCTCAGTGGATAGAGCGTTGGCCTGCGGACTAAAGGGTCCCAGGTTTGATTCCAATCAAGGGCATGTACCTGGGTTGCAGGCACATCCCCAGTGGGGGGTGTGCAGGAGGCAGCTGATCGATGTTTCTCTCTCATCGATGCTTCTAACTCTCTATCCCTCTCCCTTCCTCTCAGGAAAAAATCAATAAAAATATTTTTTTAAAAAAAGAATCAACCAATGAGGGTATAAATAACTGGAACAACAGATCTGTGTTTCTCTTTCCCTCCCTGCCCCTCCCTCTCTAAAATTAAAACAACAACAACAGAAAAAAACACTTCTCTAAGAAGCTAATTCTGCCTGGAACATTATCACTTCAGACCTAAGTGAAATGATTTTACCGATGAATCCTTTGCTACAAACATAGGAGTTCTTCCCCAGCTGATGTGAGTGTCCGGTGTGGGAGGCAGCCAGTCGATGTGTCGCTCTCACACTGATGTTTTTCTCTCTCTGCCTCTCCCCTCCCTTCCACTCTCTCTCTCCCAAAAAAATCAATGGAAAATTATCCTTGGTGAGGATTTTATTTTATTTTTAAATATATTTTATTGATTTTTTACAGAGAGGAAGGGAGAGAGATAGTTAGAAACATCGATGAGAGAGAAACATC